AGATAAGATTTTACAAAAAAATTTAGTGTAAACATATAAACCATCGAATCCAGTTTATATTTTGATAAATAATTAATTACTTTTAGAAAAATCATTTAAGAGGTTAATAAGAATAAGAGTTTAATACATATGAAGAGTAAAAGTTTTTTCATTGGTAGTTTCTTTTTTTATTATTATTAAGGAAATTGTAGAGTGTGCTTGTAAAATCTATGCATATTATCTACGTATGAATGCATGATACACGTTATTATATAATAAAAGTTTGACGGGAGAATCTTGATGTAGCTAACGTCCAACTAACAGATAAGATAACCTATCAAACTCAACCACCAATTTCGTAATGGAAAACTCAAAACTATATATATATTATTTATAAACTCAAAACTATATGGTCTCAATAGAAAACACTTATAAAAGATGAGAAATTTCTGTGGCCCAAGATGCTTCCAACATATATATTTATTATATATACATTTTCAAAGCATGGTATTAAACATTCCAAAATAAACGTCAACTCAGACTTTAATACCATAATAAATTTTAAGTTTAATTCCATTTTATAAAGTTTTACTAAATTAAATGAGAAAAATGAGAAATTTTTATGTTCAACATATTTTTAATATATTTTTTTCATAAAAAACATATATTTTTGAGATAGATTTTAATGTGATTTTAATATTATGCTAAAAATTAATATTAAAGTTTAACTTAGTTTTATATTATTTTTGTTAGTTAAAAACACTCAAATTTTCATGTTATCGATTAGAAAAATATTTTTTTAACAATTTTTTTGATAATTTTTTTACAACCGTTTATGTGATAGTTTGTGATTAATTTTAGATATATGAATCAATAAAACAGTCACAAATAATTTATTTTTAAAAAATTATTAACATATCGTAGTCTTCTCGATTAACTAGAATAAAATGATAGAAGAACATGCATTAACGTTAAAATTATTAGTCAACAAACACAATAAGTTGATATCTAGTGTTTGTCAGTGTCTGGAATGAAATTGTTCTGAGATTTCTGCAGAGAATTGAAGAAATAAAGTATATTAAATTGGTAAGAAAAACTGTGTTTGAAATGTTGATGTTAGAGAATAATGAGTAAGGAAAATTAAATAAAAGCAGTGTTAGTAAGTGCAGTGGGTAGCCAGGAAGAATAAAGTTGAAGATGTCTGATGTGGAAATTTGGCTACACGTGAATGATGAGATGTTGGTGTGACGATGGAAGATAAGAGATAGTAATTGAATTGCTTATGATTTGGCAAATGCTTGCCCATGAAAATGCACTCTTCCAAAGGAAAATGACTAAGCACACTTCTTTCTTCCAAATACTATGTCCAAATTTATACTAACCACAATCTTTTGCACTTTCTTGCACCACAGCTTCTCTTACAACAAGCCAAATAGTCTCAACTCATGCTGTGTAGAACTTGTTAAGGTTTATTCAGTTTCTGACTGTGGAACTTCTCAATGACTGTTTTTTAGTGTGAAGAATTGTCACAACGTTTTGTTCTTCAAGTTCTTTCTCTCTTGTACCATTGTGATTATGATCACTGAGGAAACAAACAGTTAGAGCAAAACCATCAGCAAAAAAGAAACACAAAACACCAAATCAGAAACCAGCAGTAAAGTAGGGAATACTCATTTTCATAGTGAATGTTTTCTTGTGAGAGTGGGGGCCATGAGAACCAACCCAACCAACATGCTTGCTTGGAATTTGGATCATGAAATCACAGTTCATGAGACAACGTTGGATGTCATGTAACTAAAAGAGATATATAGGGATATTATCATGCAAAAATTTATTTATGCGTGATAATGTCCATACATACATATATATATATATATATATATATATATATATTATAATAATAAAATTTTAAATTAAAAATAACATTATTTTTTTATATGAATTAGACTCAAAATTCATTATAAAATAAGTATACATCATATCACATTTATAATCAAAACAAAGATATATGATAAAGAAAATGTTTGTTTTGTTAAAGATCTAGACAAAAATTATTTGTTCAATATCGATATAGAATTTTTTTTATTTATTTACGTAAATGGATAAGTCTTATAGTTTGACATGACTTCAAATGAAGAAGTCATATATGAAGTATACAACTTCTACACTAATACATCATAAAAGGTAAAGTCGGATACCCTCACATGTTTTTAAATACTAGTAATTGACTGCGAATATCTATAATCAATTACACAGTATCAAATTTCATACAAAAGAATTACACACCACTACTATAATCAATTACCAGTGCGAAAATCTTAAATTAAAAATAATATCACTTTTTTATATGAATTAGACTAAAAAATTCGTCATGAAATATATATACATTATATCACATTAACAATCAGACTCAAAACTAATAACAAAATATATTACAAAGAAAATCATATATACATTGAAAAGGAAGATTCAAACGTTGAACATTCGGTGATACACCTTAATTCTAATACTTTCATGAGTATTATATATATTACATGTATTTTACCTGTTTAGTGTAGTAGCATTGGTCCATGGTCTATAATTGTCCTTCATATTTGCATTGCACATGCATTAGATCCAGACACGTTGGGTTGAGTTATCCGTAAAGATATTTGATAGATTTGACAATGACAAAACATCAACAACCCTTTAGTGAAAACCTGTGCAGTCTTGAGGTATATTCTGTGTCTGTTATATGGGCATGTACTTGAAATTGAAGTGAACAACAATCACAATCAATTAGAACAGATCCTTATCTCAGTGCACGAATGAAATTCAGTTTAACAACTCTTTCACTCATCTCATTATTTACTTAATCTCATGATTGGAATATCTTAAATGAAGTTTCAACAAATTAAAGCATCAAATTAATTAGGTAAGGATAATGCAACACACAGTAATGCATTCATCATCTCACAACAACTTACCATTTTTACTAACGTTTACCAAATTATACTAATTAGCCGCATTTAATGAGAAGTATAAGGATTTCTCCAATTAATAAAAGAATATTAAAAGGAGTATGTTGCCATGAGGAAGAAGATATAACTGAAAGTATCTTTTCTATATTCTTACGTATTAATTGCTATAACATATATAATTATAACCTACTATATATCAATTCATGGACCATATTACCTAAAATACAGCACATATTTTAAGTGACAGAGGGCATATATCACATCAAGCATAAGGTACAAGACTCTCTTAAGTATATTGGTTTATCACAAACAAGAATCCATGATAAAGGTTAGGAATCACTACATTGATCTCAAAGTGTATGCAAATTCATATTAGGTTTATTTAAATGCTAATTTTGTAGTTTTACATTAAGGAGTTGATTCTAAATTTAAAACTTATTTTAGTGAGTTTATGAGGTTGTTTAACATCTCCAATTCGTCACCATAAATGTTTATGTTCCATGCATTACTGATATGTACTGTGTATTTAAACATGTGATAAGTTGATAAATAATGTAGACAAATTATGATAGATTTTAACAGGGTGCATCAATTCTTTATGATAGAGATCAAATGAAGTAAATCATAATTGAATTGCCATATTTATGTAGTGTTAAGTTCAATAAATATCAGTTACTACTTTTAATATAATAATAAGCTCTCTATGCAACAAAACTGACCCACATGACAAAATTAAGAATGACAAAATTAAGATGGTAAAACAAGAATCATACAGGTGAAACATATCATGCTTGTATTCAGTATTGGAGCTAAAGTTGTTTTAGCTTTGTCTGATTTAGTATTTATGCATATGGAAGACAACGAAAAGGATGAAAAACAAAAATGATTATTACAATAATATATATATATAAACTTTTCAAATTATGTACCAAAAATTAGAAAAAAAAAACTTACAAATCAATAAATTTTCAACATTGTAACAAAAGATTATGACGTACCAGTAACCAAGTTAAAAAATACATCGATATGTAAATAATATTAGACTATTTATGTACACTTATATCTTTTTAATATAATAGATTATGTTTAAAAATATTATTTTACTATTTACATTTTTATAAAAATATTTATAATAATTATATTATTGATTATAAAAGTATCAAGTTTTTAATATAAAAATATAATAACATATATTTCATAAAATAGCTTAATTTTATATATTATTTTAACTTTTTGTTTATTAAGATTGGATAACAATTTTTTAGTATAATTTAATATTTTGTTTTAAATTTAATTCATATTTTGAAAATTATTTTGCATTGAACCATAAAAGATACTTTACCAATTATTCTATTACATCAATTAAATTAACTATAAAATTTTCAGTAATTTTATTATATTTTTTATTCTCTTTCTTCTAATTCAAACAATATTATTATTAGTTTTTTTTCCTTTCTATTTTCTGCTGTCCCTCTAATCTACACAAAACATTAATCTTATAAAAATTGAAAACATGAAAAAAAAAATCATGAAAATTATTGTTAATAAATTAATGATGGTCAATGGCAGAAGTCAATGAAGATTTTAAAATAAAAAAAAAGTCGTAAACAAAATAAGTGTACAATAATATATAAAAAGTAATGAAAATAAACATCACTATTTATATATTTACTAGAAATATATAAAAAGCAATGTCCATAAATATGAAAATGTAAAGTCAGTCCAAATTATTCGACTATGTATTGATATTGTTACTTAGTTATTTTGATAACTTGTTTTATATATAATGCCCGACAGGAATATAATGATTATGTTCTAACATTACTCTTCCATCCTTACCAGTTCTTCAACCTATTTATTAATATAGAAAATCCCATATTAGACCTTCTACAGCATTTGTGATGGTTTGTATTGCGGCATTCCATTGCAAACTTTTTCAAAGCAATTATAGCTAAAATATCAAAAAGTATAATTTAAAACATACAAAACCTTGAAAATCAACAAAGTATACAGGAATGTGCATTTAGCTAAATTGGCAGAAAAAATAAATTTGAAATCATTTAATCAAAAGGTAAGGAAAGATAAGAAATTAATAAAATTAAACCACATCCCAAATCTCAAATAAAATATATAGGCGCAAGTTAGATCGGTAATGTATTACCAAATTCATGTCGCGGGAGAATGTCTTCCCAATAATGACGAACATTTGTTTCCCTCTCGTGGACTATGCACATTACAACAAGATAGGACAAAACCAAATGTTCGAAGTTCTAAAACTCAAGGTCGTCGTCATCATCTTCGACCGGAATTTACACCTCGACTAGCTTCATATCCACCCACACTACGAGCAGGCGGGGTTGTGGATCCATACGGTATATTGTTCACGGGTGGAGCATGTCCATGAGGACCACCAACCCCTCTAGACTGTGTCTCATAGCCACCAGCTCTCGATGAATCGTAACCCGTTCCTCTTTGCATATCATATCCTGAACCTCTCTGTGGATCATAGGAAGTTCTTTGAGCATCAAAAATTGCCCCTCTCTTAGCATCATAAGTAGATCCTCTAAAGGCATCGTAACCTGTCAACCTTTGCGTGTCATAGGTAACACTCCTCTGTGCATCATAATTAGGTCCTGCAGATGCACCATAACCAGGTCCTCTGGGAGCATCATAACCAGTCCCTGCAGGAGTTGAACCCGGTTGAGCTCCAGTAGAAGCAAGTGTAGTAGCACTACCTCCACCCCCACTGGGTGCAGGAAGGGGACCACGTCCCTGTAAAACAAAAATATTCCAATTCAAATTCCGAAACAACCTTAGAACATGACCATTCTAACCAGTAAATCTTACTTTATCATCATATCTCAAGATACTCAAGTTTACTAATACATAATAGACAGACATTTCAGATCAGTATTGGAATCGACTGATATCTAAAGTTATCCCCGAATGAGGACACAAATGCAATGACATGTCAGTAAATATGAATATCTAATGCTAGATTAGGAGCTATTTTAAAAACTGTTTGTAATATAAAATTTGCATTCAGCTTTTTGAATCTATATCAGATTTCAATATCAATTTGAAATTTTAGTTTTAAGGCACTAAACAAACAAATTGTTTGAAAACCCATTATTAGTGCCTAATCTAAACGCAAATTAAAATCTTTCATCAGTAAGACTACATTTATCACTGTAATTAGAGGATGTTAAGATATTTATCATGTTTTATCATCATTATATTATGTCAAGGTTACCCTGTTTATCATGATTATATTGCATTAAGGGTTACCCTATTTATCATGATTATATTGTGTCTAGAATTACCTAGTTATCATAATTATATTGTGTTAAGGGTTAACTTATTTATCATGATTATATTGTGTCTAGGATTATCCTATTTATCATCATTATATTGTGTCTAGGGTTACCCTATTTATCATTGATTATATTGTGTCGGATTATCCTATTTATCATAATTATATTGTGTCTAGGTTATTCTTATAAATAGAAGATTATGTAAGGATCAATCAAGCCTTCTAGAGTTTAATTCTCAAATGAAGAGAAAATGTTAGAATAATTGCTCCCACTATATCATTTCTATTTTCTCTGCACACAAATAATACACTAACAGATTCCCAATTGCTATCATGCAAAACACCTATAATTATGGCATTGAGCATGATAATCCTATAAATTTTGTATTTCTTTGTCATGGTAACAAAAATCATCAGAAAGATAATTATGTTAATTTGTTACCATAAAAAAAAGGTGATTATCAAAGATTAATGAGTAACAAATGCATAGAGAAATAAAAACAAGAAAAATCACATATTCATTTTTATTAGAAGATTTGAAAATTAAAAATATTAGACAATGAACTAAAATAATGCACTCCCAAGAAACCCAAAACAGTGTAACACAGAGAGGCATCACACACCTGCATAACAGAATAACCATCTTCATAAGCATTTTGTCCCACAGAAAGACCAGAAGCCTCGTTCTCATTAGTTCCGGAGGTGCCACCATATGGCCCACCTGAATTTTTATTACCAGTGATCAATCCACAAAACATGAAAAATTGAGGGAGACAAGGGACAAGGGCTCTATTCTAACACAGAAAACGTATGAAAGGAGATACATACTATTTCTCCGATCCACATTAGCAGTGTTTGAAAGCTCGGCTCGAAGTTTTTCCACTTCTCTACTCATAGAAACATAGTTCTTTTCCATCACCTGAAGTGACTCAAGGTGATCATTGTATAATTTTTTTTCATAGTCAAAAGTGGCCCTGTACAACCAGAACAAAAGATTGTAAAGGACACTAAACATGGCACTCTGGCACTATGCCAACATGCTGTAAGGAGAAGGTATGATCAGAAATCGAATTGGTTGACTTTGAATTTGGCTTGAGTGAATTATGAGTGAAAACGGCAGATCGAAAGTTCAGAGTAAATCTACGATAACAATCAAACCAAAATAATAAATAGGTTTAAAAGGGTCAAATTGGTGATTGTTGGGATTCCAAATAGAATGGCATGAGAATGAAAGATTTACCATCAACCAAAAGAGGAACCTATAGCTGCCAAACCTGTTTTTAAAATGTATGCCTACCACATGCTAACAATGTTTTTAAAATGTATGCCTACCACATGCTAACAATGTTTTTAAAATGTATGCCTACCACATGCTAACCATCCTAACTGAGCCCACCCTGCCTAAAAGGTCAAGTGTAGCAAGGTGCCTTGGTATATCTCTGGTTGCATAAATGCTCTAACCAGTACATTGCTAGGCAAATCCATGGATATTGATATTGAAGAGACTCCCAAGAGGGTTATACAAAAGGACAAGGAAATGCAGCAGGAATTTGTTCAAAGTTCAAACACTCATAGTTCAGAACAAGATGAAACCACCATTGCCTTCAATTCAAACTATGGAAGTCATTTCATCATACTCAGAAATCAGGATTTTCAGTAAAACGGTCTCCCGGATTCAAACTAAAGAAATGTAAGAGATTAAAATCAATTTCAATGAGATCCAAAGTAAACAGCTGAGTTTAAAGAAAAGAATTTACCACTGATACAAATTACACTTAGGAAAACTTAGAAAGAACTTTAGTGACAGATTAAGTTAGATAAACAGATATGGTTGCTCAGTGACCAGCCTCCACCTTTATGAATAAATGGAATGGAACCAGAACAGAGATCAATCCTCAGCCTATGATTTGATTGTAATACACAACCAAGATTGATGGCAGATGAATAATACCATACTCTAGGAATAAAGTATTACACCCTACTGGAATAAATCCTAATCTTATAAGAATTGAGGGAGTGAGTTTCACAAAACCACATTACATTCTCAAGAATCATATTCTTTGGAATATTATAGCTTAGAATGTTTTCTAAAATTAAAAGTAATTTAAATTTAAAATAAGAAAAAAAATGAACGTTATAAGTATAATAATAAGTAAATTACCATATTTCCATGAGAATATCACTTTCCCACCCCTTCCTCAAGGGAATAAAAACTACTAAAAGCATGGGAATACAGATTTCCTGAGAATAAAAAAAACATCCGAGAATCACGGTTGATAACCTACTAACAAATATGGGAATAAATATTCTCAGTCTTATTCCCAGGAATAAAAGAAGCTGTAAAACAAACACTCATAAGTGTAGTGGGAAACTCATTTCTAAAAGGTTGGATAATATAAAGGATCTTCTTTAAATGAGAAATTTTATTATCATCCCAGCTGATGTGCGATCCACATACATGAATTAAATCAGTTAGATTGGAAAGAACAAATAAAACTAGAATAGAAAATGACTGTCATGGGCACATTTTAAACAATGGGAAATGGAGAAGATGATGACAAGAAAGGAACAAAGTAAGATACTCATACTATGTACTACAAGATTACCCTATAATAAAAACAAAAAGGAAAACAATAATATTAACAATAAACAAACTCATTGGAGCAAAACGAGCTGGCTGGCTCATTTGAAGTCAGAAGAAGCCAAAGGCAGATGCAACAGCATAATTCATGAAAATTTTTATTTAATGATAACAACTGTAAAGGTAACAGAGCCCCATGGAAAACATAAGCAGTTTGCCCCACTCAAAAAACACCAGAGGGTTGCAAAAGAAGGCATCATACAGATTCTCCGTCCTTTTCTCTTTTTGATAGAACAAGTTTTGCAAAGAAATGAATCCCTCTAAAACTGATAAGAGACAAAGCTAAGCACAAAAAAAATAAAACTCTTAAGGTAGTCAACATAACTACTCCAGAGTAAGGGGATAAACTATACATTAATAACAATATAAACACCTGTACCAAAAAATAAAAAGAAAATAAATAGCTATATAGCAATTTATAGGAAAATGTGTTAGCTTGCATTCTAAATAGACATTTATACCAAACACCTTTCATATTACTAGCACTAATCCCATATTCTTATCATGTACGCAGTTCAAGCAAAAAAGACTGCACCCTTGAAAAGTGAAAATTGATTCCTGAATGTGGTACAAGCTACAAATACTTTCTCTAGATAAATACATAATAACATTTGGAGAAATCAAGTTAAAAAGACCCAAGACTCCATCCCCCTTTGTGTTGGGTCTTTCAAGAGGAGACACCGGGGAGAGTCACCTAATGAACTGAGTTAACCCGTATAAAAGACTATGACACCACCTCCTACCCCAAGCTTTAAGACAATGAATTTGTGGGTCTTTCTTCTTATGTTACTTAACTTTCTCATTTTTACTCAATATAGGACTCAAACTTATTTGGATTCCCAAACACTTTGGACTACCACAAATCTACCAAGTATGCATGACACTAGATGCAAATATCAACAAGAAAATCTCTCTTGCTTTGAGGCAGGAAGAATGATAATAAGTAATACTAATAGATTTTGAAATTAGACAGGGCCCAAAGCTTCACTCATAACACGAGGTACCACTATTGCATCTGGCCTTTCACTTATCTCCAATTCCAAACAATGAAAAACCTCTCATGAGTTTATAAAATCCTCAGACATCAAAGAATCATATCCCTGTAAACATAGGCAAAACAACATTTTGGAGAAAGGAAAGCCTTTATAACATTTTCTGCATAACACCGGTCAAGTTCATTGGTTCCTTATATTATTACCCATCTATCACCTTGTCCAATACTCCCAATTCCTCAATTCCCTTCAACTAAAAATCTTTTCACAATATTATCCACTAAATAAAGTTCACACAAGTTATTTCTCAATTTAACTACCCCATTCATTTTTTTCACTATTTCAAAGATATGTTATTAGGTTATGTCCCTCATCAAATGTTGATAAATGTCAAAAAGCACAGACACAATTACCTTTAAACTTGCCAATTGCCACCTCTCCATAATATCCCACCCTTAGCCTATACTAACAAAGTCTCCAAACCAAATAAAGAAATACCACTCCTTGAATTTTACAGGCATAATTGCATCCCATAGAGAGACGGCTAGCATTCCAAATCACCTAATCTACAACACAAGAAGCAATGTCTACATAGAAAACAACATTTAACCAATGCTTTCATATACTTAGTCACTTTCTACATCATCATCATCACAACATTTTCTCTAAGAAGAACCCATTACGCACTACATCATAAGTACACATCTAACCTAAAAAAGAGACAGAAGAAGGATACCTGCAATGCTGATACTCCTGTCTGAGGCATTCAAGTTCTGAGATAAGGGCGGGGATCTGAACAACATCAGTGTGAACCCTCTGCAGTTCCTGAGTCAAGTGCTGCGCTTTCGAAACAAGTTCATCCCTAGCCAAAACAAGGTTTTGTGCCTCTCCGCGAGCCTGCTGCAGCTCCAACTTCACGCCCTCTGCGCTCTGCGCTTCGCTCTCGATCTTCGAGATCTTCTCCAACTGCACGCGCACCTGCTGCTCCCGCTCTCCCTTAAGAGCTGCCACGTGTGCGTGGAGCATCTGCAGCTCGTGCTGGGCCGCCGCTAGCTCCTGCCGCAGCGCACCATGCGTAGCTGCAAGCCGCTGGTTCTCCGTCGCCAGGCGCTGCATCTCCGCATGCTGAGACGCTAGCTTCTGCTCCATCACCTGCGGCGGCGGGAGTAGATCAAATGGTGCGACAAGCGGGTGCGGCATCACGGCGGGACCCGGCGGAATCGAACGCCGCAGGTGTGGAGGCGGTGGCATGCGGCCTTTGCTTCCCATTGTAGAAGATAACGGAGTGATCGTGAAATTAGGGCACAAAGTAAAAGGAATTTGAAGAACTGGGAAGATGAGGCAATGAATGAAAAGGGGGATGCGAATGATAAAGAAACATGTAGGGTGAGATTAAGGGGGAGAGAGAATTCGAATCCAAGAGGGTTTCAAGGAACCCCAAAAACCCTAATTCAATGATGAAAAAATCTATGGTAAATTATATTATATTTCCAAATTTACACTATCATAATTTACTTTTTCTTTCCAAGGAGGTTTATACAAAATTTAATTGGAAAGAGTCTGATATACATTAAAATTTCGTTTTTAATTTCTAAAATATAGGATAAATTTTATTTTATAGATGAAAGAAATTCTTTAAACTTGAAAAAGAAATATAATTTATGTCTATCTACCTTAAATTTGAGGGACTAAAATATTTTTTAAATTTACATTTTATCCTTCAAATTTTATATTAAAAAACTATGCTATATATTTTTTTTAATTCAGTCTACTAAAATTATATTTTCCTATTTCAAAGACATAAACTATAGTTAAATAAAAATATTTATTACATTGATAACTAAAAATATAAAAAGAATATATAAATTGCCTACCTGAAATTTTCCAATTAATCTGAACCAAAATTACTTATTTTGCTATAGTATGTGGATGAATCCAAATTAGATAGTAAGTGGCCCAAAGTGAAAAAAATTATCAATTCCAAAAACCACTGGGTCAAAATAAATAATTTAGAATTTAAAAGCATAAAACAAAATCTCCCAATTGTGAAATTACTGAAATGTTAAAAAGTAAATTTGGCAAAGTTGCTGGATAATGTATTGACTACAACTAGAACAAAAGAGATTATAACAAAATTCTACGTGTAAAATCACGCTTCCTCGCTCAATTGTGTGCAAATAATAGGATAGAGGTAGCTGTTATAATTCCAAGAGGGTAGGACAGAGGTAGCTGTTATAATTCCAAGAGGGCACAAACCAAAGCTGTCATTTATTAACAAATGAATGGATTGACTAAAAATACATGATGATTTCTTTGACATAACTATTCGTACAAGTTAATTAGGAGCTTCTTGGCACCTCTGTTACATCATGTCCTCCTTTCTTTTAGTATTTGATTCGGTACAAAACTCTGGTCACTTAGAGAGATCCGTCTTTTGGATGGGTGTGATGGCTGCTTGAATAAATACTTCTCAAGTGCATGAATAAATACTTCTCAAGTAGTTATACTGCTTCAACGAACAATTTTGCCGAAAGCACAAGCAGAGTCAAGTCCTTGTATTCAAGGATTCAAAATCTGGGTAATTTACACAGGCTAGCATTCTGCACTTCATCTAGCTACAAGTTGTCTTCCATTTCATCTGGTACATGTAATTTCTCAATGGCAGCCTGTTCAAAATGAAGTTTCAAGTTGCATAAGAAAATGAAGACAAGTTTGTGCAAACGTAGAAGTTGTTGATCAGTCTAAAGCAAAACTATTAATATTATAAGCCAAATCACCTTGATAGAAGCAGCATCTGTTGCAGATGGTTTCAAATCCAGAGATATACCGTAATGAAGCATAGCTCTCTCATGCATGTTACGCCTTTTATAGATCCTGCCCATCAAAGCATAAACACTACTTTCACGAGGTGCATACTCTTTAAGCTCCTCTAGGACTTCCAATGCTTCCTCAAACTTTTCCAAGCTCAAAAGTATATTGGCCTTCTGATACATTGGAAGGGGATTCTTTTTATCCGCTAAAATAGCCTTATCCATTACCATCAGTGCTTCTTCGCTTCTCTGTCAAGCATACAAGCATAACACAATTTCAGAGTTTACCAGATACTACAAAATACAAAAGCCAAAGACAGATGGAGTTCTTATTTTTGTATGTACTAACTACAAGCAGTATGGTAAGAGACACTTACCTTCAAGGCATGTAAAGCAGTACCAAGGTATGACATTATTACAGACGAACGTTGATTGATTTGGAAAGCCATTCGAAAATGATGTTCGGAGAACTCAAACTTTTCTTGGCGTAGGTATACCATTCCAAGTCCATACCAAGCATTATAATGCCTTGCATCAACCCTGAGCGCACTCTGGTAGCATTTGATTCCATTCTCAAAATCTTCTAGTGCTACATACCTGTAAGTAGGTATGAATTAGAAGACCAAAAAGAATTGCAGAAGTTATTGAAACTTGTGGATATAATATAGACAAAGGGAGTGGTAATACTCGTGTCCACAAAGGGTGTGTGCATATGCAAATCTGGGATTCAGTTGAACAGCCCGCTGAAAATTCTTCAGTGCAGTTTCATGATCCTTTTGCAGGCTGTAGCAATTACCCATTGCACACCTGTCAAAGCATTCAACCAGAATTATAAACCCATATAAAATAAAAACAAACGTAATAGAACAGCCAAATAAAGAAGAAACATCTACACATCCATGGTTCTCAAATAGCAGTTGATGTTAAAACAATAAGTATACTTCATGAAAAGGTTTTGAAAAGAATAGGACAAGGAAAGGAAAAATAGTGATATACACAAATGGGCTAGATATGGAAAACTAATATATATTAAATGGATGTAGGTAAGAATATAGATGCTAAAGTTATCATATATGTCTGGAATATGGCATTAGTCGACAACAAATGCTCTTGCAAAAGTACAGCACAGTTTTCACTCCCCGAACATGCATATTTGCCTACACAAAGCCGTGCAATTTAAAGCATTATGGTAAAGCAAATATGGATGATAGCAAGGAGAAATGACTTCTAAAGGAAATAATTTAAAAAGGAAAATATAGAAACCAGTATATTTTGAATAATCAGCAAGAAGTTCCATACAAAGCCTACCAAGACTGAGGAGCTAAACGATCAGTTGATATCAGTTCCTGAGCCAGGTAACTTAACTTCATATCCTCCTTCAGGTGCTGCACCAGAGATAACAGTCTCTTGGTCAAGCATTAGGTATAACAGTTAGGCATTAAACAGAAGAAGCACGAAGCTAAAGAAAGACAACAAAATAAAATAGCTCTAGAAGGCTATGCAACGTTTTAATTTTCATGGTGCTTTTGTAGCTCCTGGATGAGGGCCATAAAACAAGGAATTGTTTCTATAAATAGCCCATAACATCAGCCTTAGACTAAAAACTTTGCAGGATAATTTTACTGCAGGCTGATATTAATTATAATATTTTTCTCCAAATGGTGCATCAGACTAGTATGTGAAATTAGCTCCCTCTCTGGATTCATCCTCAGCTCCCTAGTATCATGATATTGCTATCATTGATAATGGCACCTTTTTTCTACCAAGAGGCTCTATTAATTGAACCAACCACTAATCAAAGTATCAAAGGCAAGAGAGGAAATCAAATCCATCTTATTCATATCTATCCTCTTACTTGTGGATTGGGATAATTAGTATAAATAGGGGTTAGTATATTACGTTTTGCAACACATCACCCATTATTCAAAATTTGTTCTAGCTTTCCATACTTCTCCTAAATCCCTCCAGGTTCATCAATTCAAAGGACTTCTATTATTACTATTACTATGATTATTATACATGATATATCACAAAAACTAATGAAATGTAATATAAACTCACATAAAGAACTGTTGAATAGACATCCATTCCTTCCAAGCTATAAGGCATGATCTGACGAGCAAGGCCAAAAGCCTGATCAGCTTCTAAGTAATCAACCAATTCGAAGTACACTTTTCCAACCTGCTTAAAACATCCAAGCATCATATTACAAATAGTTAGTAACATGCACCAGTAAGAATATCTAGATCAAAAACCATCAAGAATCAAGCAGGTCTGGGCTAATGTTTCTGAAATAGATTTGTTTGGTTTGCAGGATTCACAACTTTCAAAGCACCCCAACAGAAATTATGCATCTTGTTGAATCGTCTCACTGATGTTTGATCATTTTCAACATAAAAAGAAGCACACTCTAGGTGTTTGGGCTTTGTATTTATCAAAAATCCAATCTAATTATTTATCCGTTCTCATGTTCTCTTTTACTTTTCTTCCTACTAGACTCCAATTTCAACATTATTTTTAGAATCTTGAAAATATCAAATAGTTCAAGTGCCATGAAGAACTACGCCAGTAAAGAAATTGATTGGAACAAAAAATTAAAAGATGATACAGAGCACAATCAGAAGGAAAACGAAAATAACTATGTAGACAGTATAATTTCAGCCAAAATTCTACCCTATTTGAAACCTAATTTGAGGTATATTCTATACACCAGTTGGGAACCAGAAGTAACTCCATCAAGGAAAAACCTTTCTTTTCTAGGTACAGCCAACAAAACATTTGAATATAGCATCTTAAATCTGAATGTAGTATAATGCTATATCAATACACTACCTATGAAAGACCAGAATTTGCTAACTGAGTAACCAAAATTACCTGGGAAAGAACCCACCCAGTATTGTAATGCTTATGTGGAAGTTTCATGTAGGTATCCAGTGCATCCTGTTTCACAAACAAAAAAACAAAAAGATTAGAAAACTATTTCTTTTATCATTATTACTTTCTTCGTAAATCCAATAAAAAAATTAATGAATAGATAAATACAAATTTATATATCTTTTAACCAAAGATGATAATTAATTAATACCTGACAACTATATGAGTAGGCAAGTCTACAGCCTTCACCAAAAATTCTTAAAAGGGTCAGTATTTCTGAAGCTCCAGAAATGACTTTTGAACCGCTCACTGTTTGTCCACCAATGGGAAAATTTGCTGCTTCTTGTTCATAAGATTTAGCATCCATGGTAGGAGTAGAACTAGATGTAGACGATGTGACATTTAAACGAGAATCATCAAGAACATCGTTTCGAGTTCCTGAAGATAAAAGAAAGGATATGTATTAGCAGTTCAAAAATATTTTATATAAGAAAATTGGAATTAATATTATGTAAGAACTTGGGAGTCATACATTAAGAGAGCAAGTATAACCAGTACAAGATCAGTAATTGTAGAATAAATAGTATTATGTTACCATTTCATAATAGATATAACATATCATACCTGAATGTTAGGATCAATATCAATCATTTAACTATCTATACTCTACTAATTCAAAGTTGGTATTTATTAATTATTGTACAGTATACTGATATGTCTATGTTCGGTGTAGCCAGTGTCCCACTATTGCCCTTTTGGGCTAGCCACTCTGAACTCCTACCAGCGATTGCTAGCTGCTTATAAAACCTTGAAAAGGCAATGGCATAGAAGAAAATTGTATAAACAAACACAGATTCATTAATCAGGTTGCATTTCTTCATGACAAAATAACTACCACAGCTTCAAAACAATCATCTTTACACAGGAAAACATAACAAAAAACACAATACAATAGAAGAAGTCATATGATATAATAAAGACTCATCCTCACCTTCGTCAGCATTTTCATTGGCCCACGACTGCCCTTTACGAACTGCCATGGAACGAAATGCCATACTGCTAAGCTTTGACCCTCCAAGATACTTAGAAGAATTACCAGTTCCATTTCCAGATACAACTGCTGCATTAGCATTTAAACTTGCATCACTGGACAGTCTTGAGCTACGTCTAGGACCAGAATCAGAAAACAATCTTCCCGAAATCTGAAACAATTAAAAACAAAAGAACAAAAAATAAAGTACTAAGAATTGAACAAACTGTAAAAAAATTTTAAAAAGAAAGGAATAAAATGCAAACTATCAAACTACAGCAAACAACTGAGTGTGTTTTCTAGCAAACATTTTCTTTAACATCAACATAATTATTATTCCTTTAACTCACATCATGTCAAAAATATTTAGAAGTCTATCATGTATTACACAAAAACTAAAATGTATAATGTAAACAATCGAAAACTGAGATATTGAGAAGCTGCAGAAAATTTAAGCAACCAAATAACACGCATGCTTGGTTTTTATTATGACAAACTGGGGGCAGGGAGAGTTTTGGCTAAGATCTCTTAACGTGTTCTCATTCAAGTGTCCACAACCTTACGTAATTTTCCTTCATCCACAAACTTTCTCCGAGGGGCTTGAATGGTAGAGTTCACTGATGACTTAGGAGAACTGTCAGTATTCACTGTACTCATGTTTTGGCCATTGGGCTGCAGATTCCTACACAAAGGGGGTGGAGCAACACCTGACAACTACACAAGAGGTGAACAAAAATATCAAATTTTCTAAAAAGAAATTGAGCATGTAACACATTCAATAAACCAATCAACATCCATTCATATTTAGTGAATAACAGGGCACTTTTTTAACCATCGTTTCTGATTCTGACTTACGAACTAAACATTTTCAAAATTCAAAATTACAGAAATTATGGCTTAATAAACTGTGTATTTTATCCAAAATATTGACTATAAATTAATATGTACACATGATATGAAATTAGATGCACTTTACCTGTGTTGCCATTGGAGATGGGGTGTTATAAAATGATATGTTGGACAGACCACTATTAATTGGTTGGGAAGTTCCTCCTAAAATAGATGCCCCATGATGATTTCCAGGAACATCCTTCAGGCCTGGCATAAGTTTCAGTTGCCTGGGACTTGTATCTTCTGAGACAGAGTGACTAGTGTCAACTAAATTACAATCCTCGGCTGATGACTGCAACTTAGAGGTGGTCGAGCAATGTAGGTATTGCTTTTGTACACAAAGAGCAGCTGCTTCACCAAAAACTGCAGTCGCATCTTCAGCAGCACCTGCATATTCAGAAAACAGCATAGTGATAACTAATTAGGGCAATAACATGGAAATCTTTCAGAAAGTAATCACATATTAGAAACATCAATATATTAGAAGATGCATAAATTGACAGATATCACGAGTCAAAACAAATAGCATCAAGGTGGCACTAAAATAAGAACATAAATAAATTTTAAAATGGTTATGTTGGAAAATCTCAAGAGTCAAAAGCAAAGTGAATATAATGAATTCTAGAGCATTAAGGTTCCAAGGCCAGTTTTCTAGGTTTTCAGTTCATCACATAAACAGACTGCTTAAATGATAAGTGATTGTGTTATTCTGATATCATAAATTTGTCTATCTAAAGGAGGGTGGCAAGTTTTTGCAGTGAGCAAGTTCAATGTATTATACCGACCTAATATGCACAACTCTTCATACGCAGCCCACATAAGAGGATCCATTGATAGTGCCTGCTTAAAATGATGAATGGCACTTTTCCTTCTGTCAGTGTATCTGAAAAAAGAGTATCAAAGAGAATTTAGAAGGGTGAATGTATCAAATGCGGTATGCATGCATGACATACACATACATGACCAACACACAACTATATAGAATTGACTCCACTTACAGCATCCAAAGTCTTTATAATAAACAAATATTGTAGCTTTTGCATATGACACAGAGAAGGAAGATGCGAATATAAATTTCTATTATATCTGATTTAATGATAAAGATGTATGATTATAATCTGCTTTAGCCACAACCAGACCATTCCCTTTTAAATAATATAAAAAGAAACTTTCAGATAAACTAATAAAACTATATGGTAAGTAAGATTGGTTAGCAACCTGTAAATCAACCCTAACAGATAATGACCAGCTGCCCCGTTTGGAACCTACAAAAAATGCAACATAACATAAGAGTCATTCTACTTCTCCTAGCAAATATATTATTTGACAAATTATAATAGTAAACAACTTAAAGCCAAACAGCACGCTATAACTAACTCATACAAGAATAAAGAATTCAACAATAGTAACTTTGATAACAAAAGCATGAAAGATAAAAACATAATCAGTGATTTGAGACAAGAAATTCTAAGACCTCCAAGAGACCATTAAAAAAGTTCAAAAAATCATTCTCGATTTAAAATATATTTTGAATTATGTTTTGTACCTCTACACTGGGCTCGCTAGCAGGACATAATGCTGTTTCAGCTTCACTAAGAAGATCCATTTGAAAGCATGATATTGCAAACAAGTACCGGGATTGAGCCATTTGCGCCCCTTCAAGAATTAAAAAGAAAATGAATAACAATAGATACATAATGAGAAGCACAAATATGAGGTGATAAAAAATGAGGTAAGAAATCATTAGCTATTAAAAAACCATGAGAAAGACAAGGAATGATCACAATTAAACCTAAAAGGATTACAAACGAGATTCCAAAACTGGTTGGTGCATATATATTGAAAGAAACATACCCTTTAAGATGTGATATGCAGAATAAGCTTGATTATTCTGCAAGTAACATCCAGCCAACAACTGGAGATTTGTCTGTACAGTATCCAAAAAAGATAGTTATCAAACAAAATTATGAAGAGTAACGATATCCTTCAGAAAAACACTTTGAACACACACACACATATCTAAAGAAAGGACCACTAGTAAACAAGAACAAACAATTAACAAAGTTAAAAGGATAAAAAAACTTTCAGTGGAGCATTTCATATGTATCTTGGGCACAAAAAATAAGAGCACACATCAATTGAAAGTGAACAAAGTCTAAACATCACACTGACATATAACAAGAACTAAGTCAAAACTTTATAATGACCTTTTTCTATTTAATTGATTTCTGCTTCAGACTTATTGTAAGGTAAGCAATTCAAGGAGTTAGTAAGGGTAGCACAAAATATCTCCTCACCCTTAACCCTTTCCTAAAACAGCTACACGTAGTAAACAGTACTCACACGAAAAGAAACCCTTTCACTGTTACCAAACCAGTACACACGCAACTTCAAACCTTGGAAGAGGGAAAACCGTAACGTATAAATCCACCACTCTAACAAAAAACATCAAGTATAATTAAGGGACAAATAAACCAGGAGCTTAGAATTACCATCGCGAACCCAATTTAATCGTACTAGTGCACCGTGAGCAGGGAGGGAGAATCTGTGCAGTTCACGTAGACCGTGAAGCTAAAAGAGGAAGTTGAATCCAAATCCAAATTCCTCCAAAACGAACTAAAAATTCAACTACCACTACATAAACTACGAAATGGACTTGAATCAAATAAATAGCTAGGTGTGAAGCCAAGAGTCACCGATCTCGGAGCTTACAACGGAGAAGTTTTCGGAGCTTATAACGGAGGGAGATAATCTTCCATTTCCATTTTCTAGAATTTTGTGTAGAAAATTGAAGGAAATTGAAGAGGGCGAAAGGTACCTCGGTGGGGAACTCGGCGCAGAGACGGTGGCAGAGGAAGATGGCGTTGGCGTGCATGAAATGCCGAAGGCTCTTCTGCACGCAATCAACGAGTATCGCTTCCATGGCAGCTTCGGAAACCGATTCAGAGAGAAAATGGAAGAAAATAAAGGGAAAAAAGAGAGGGTTTTGGTTTCCGTTCAAAATGAAATGAAATTAAAATGCGAAATTGGTAAGGCACGTGTTTTGTCTCCGATTTCAAAATAGGTCACGTGACGTTGTTGTTGGTCCTTCTCATATCGTGAATCTCAAATGTTCCGTTGCTGACAGAAAAACAAAAAGAAAATGATATAGGAAAAAAAATTAAAATTAAATAGAAAAAAATGATAAATAGCTAGAATTTCCACCAAACTGTTAACGTTTGAATGGATGGCTGTGACGTTAAAAAGAACAATGGACGCTCCCTTTGTCTGTAATTAATTAATCATAGTGGTTTACTTTGAAGTTGCTTTAAAAATAAATCTGGTCACATTAAAAAAATTAAAACAAATATAAAGAATATTATGATGATTGGAACATTTTGATAAGATAGAAAGATTCTTTGTGATGAGTATGAACAATGGTTTCGAAGGACATATGTACTTGTCTCCATTTTCATTTTCATTTTCATTTTAAAAAAATTGAAAAAAAAAATATTGATCAATTAGGTTTCGAATTAAATGTTACTCATTCAAAAATTTCATAAATGATTTATGGGTAATTAAATTTTAATTATATGATAAATTTGAGAACTTTTAATTAAAATTTATTAAATATTTATAATTTATTAAAATTTAAAAAAAAAAAAAAAATATATATATATATATATATATATATATATATTTCAATTATGTTTTTATTATTTAATTTTTTTAACTTGATAGACTATTATTTATTATCTTATTTAGTTGCTGTTACATAAAATTTTATAATTTAAAAGTACGTGGATTCTAAATTTAAAATCATAGAATTCAGCTGTGTGTAAATCGTGTAAATGTTAGGTCCTATATTGTTACATGATTTTTATTTATGAATAAGGCATATTTTTAATAAGGTGTTGAATATATAATTATTTGTGTGATATGTTCAAATAATAATTGTTTTTCTTTTAAATTTAAATTATTTTATAAGATAATGTGTGTGATTATACAAACATTGATTTATTTAAACATGTGAATATTTTAGATACAAGACAAAAAGAGTTTTACAAAATATGCAAAAAAAAGTCGTATACATATAAGATGAAAAGTCTCTTGAAATTTAAGGTTGGAGATCATGTGTATTTTAGAATAACTTTATCATTGGGATGGAAGGAAATCTAAAAATTTGTCTCTTAAAATTTTGTCGAAGCGTATTAATTAAGAATTGGTCCAATAGTTTACGAAATTAGTTTACCTCCATAAATAGCTAACCTTTTGAGAAGTAATCATGTTTATATGATGTAGAAGTCAAAAACAACTTATCATTTAAAGTCATACCAGTAAGGATGGAAGATCATCGGTTTAAACATATCAGAGATAAAATAATTAGTTTGATGAAAAATGTTATGGGAGACTCAATTGGATGATTCTACATGTGAATTGGAGAAGAATATGAAAATATGTACATTTATCTCTTTTTTGCTAAGTCAGATTTTTATAGACGAAATTTGTTATTGTTTTAGAGAATTGTAATATTGTGACCAGCCATTATTTTCATGTGTTGGTCTCTTTTGTCAGGTTTTTCAGAAAGAAATAGTAAAAAAATAATAATATAAAAATAAAAAAATAAAATAAAAAAAAAAGGAAAAAAACTGATGCTAACTTTCTCATCTCATGTAGAGTTGTAGGGCGTTAGAGAATACAACAAAGGTGCTGGCGCTACCAGGTTCATTAGGGAAGACATGAAAAATTAGAAGGTGACGTTGGGTGGCAGCTCTCTGGCGTCAGATAGTCTAGTAGAGTTGTCTTTCGCATTTTAACTGTTAATGCCGATGATTATGAGATGGGTCCTCGAGTGAAAACAATTGTCAAAAATGGATATTTATTCATGTTTTCCTTAGCTCTTGTTCACTTGAGTGGATTTGAGGGAGAGTAATTGAGGGGATTTGAGAGGATTTCAAAATAAATTTTTTTGTTGTTTATTTGAGTCAATTTGGAGGTAAGTGAGAATGAATTTGAAAGTAAAGTTTGTGAGAATTAGTGTAGGATTTGATTGACGTGACAGATTAAAAAAATTTACTTCCAAATCCAATCTCATTTACCTCCAAATTCACTCAAATAATCAACAAAAAAATTTATTTTGAAATCCTCTCAAATGCCCTCAATTACTCTCCCTCAAATCCACTCAAGTGAACAAGGCCTTAAGGTTGTGAGAAATTCCTCACTTGCACAGGTAGAAGTTTCCTTAGAATGATGTTCTTAAAGGTTGTTAGGAGGGTTGGAAAGCTCTTTCTTTTCCTTCTTGGGCCTCATTTTTTAATCATGGTGGTTTTCTTTCCGTTGGATTGAAGAGGAAGATGACTTATGAATTAGAGGTGAATATGAGAATGGAAGACATAATTGTAGTGTGAAGTAGTTGGTAAAAACTTTAGGAAAAAACTTTTTTATTTTTATGGTTTTAATTTTCTATCTAACTTTTCAATTTGTAAATAATAAGTTTTTCACTCTATAAGCTAAATTTATTATCCAAATTACATGTAATAAACGTAATTTTTGTTTATTTGTGTGGTTAATATATATGTTTTTTTATTTTTATAGTAATATTTAATTTCTATGCTTAATACTTACTGTGGCTTGACTACTTACCACTTTATTGTTAGTTTTTGAGGTGTTGAAAAATATTATTTGAACATACTAAAATGAAACATTTAATTGAATTTTGTACATAGAGATGAAAAATTATTTATTAATAATCTTAAGTGATTTTAACATGAAATTATAATTCAAATAAATGAATATGCATGAAAGTTGAGTAAACAATATTTAATCTTGAAAATTATAAATATTTTATGTTGATTTTTTTGCCATACACAAATGGTTTGATAAAATCCCAAAAAGATATTTTATGTGTTTTTGTACATTTGCTTGTCTAAATTAATTGTCATTTATAAAAAAATCATATTGTGTTTAATAAGTTGATTTCTTAGTAGATAACGATATTTCCTTATTAATTATTATTTTGTGATCGAAGTAATTATTGTTTCATGATAACATGAAACTGGTTTAATTGTGTCAAAACAATCTATTTTGCTATATCTAAGGTCTGTGTTGAATCAAACAATGTATGTATTTCACGCTAAAAATGAGTTAAATTCACCTAGGTAGATTGGGTGATCTAAGTCAATAAAATCAAAGTTGTTCACTAATAAAACATTGAAGGTTATAATTGGCAGTTGAGTGTCAACGGTTTCCGCGGTATGAGCCTTTTAGTGTGTCAAATTCATGTTTTTCCTATTTTATTTAAGCTTGTATGTTGCTACATTGTGAATGATAGATGAGTTTGGTACGAAAAGTAATATGGTGATATTATGGATGAAGACAGTGTATAAATTTTCAAAGAAAAAAATGCTACATTGATCCGAGTTAGGATATATTGACTTTGCTAGAATCTATTAATATAGAGAAAAATATAGTTGTGAGAGTTAAAAGAGATTTATTATTTGAAATTTGGTAAAAAACCCAAAGTTGCAAATATAAAACTCACCCTGTGATGCTCTGAGAAGTGGGAGTTGTCCCGCCTTTATATATATATATATATATATATATATATATACACACATACATATACATATCTTTCGTGCTACCTCTCTCTTTCTCTCCGTGCCTTCCACCACCCTCGCCATTTCCGTTCCCAAGGTCAGTTTCTAACCCTCGATTATTTTCTTGCTTGCTTGAATCTGTTTCTTTCTTTTCCGTTTTACCATTTCAGCTTTCAGTTTTGTTTTCTTGCTCAATTCCACTGGGACAGTCTTCGTTCTCCCTTTATGGGACGTTGGGTAGCGGGATTTCAATCGGGATGTTGTTGGATTTCGATTTCTTCCATTGGGCGTGAGAATTTTTTGTTTTTCCTTTTATTTTCTGACTTCCTTTGTAAATGTGAGATGGATTATTGTTAGACTTCTGGATTGTCTGATGTTTTACTATTTTTATTTTTTTTAAGAAAACTCAATCTAGGTCTTTTTCAATTGATCGACGAGGGTGTTGTTTATGAAATGGATTTTATTTTGAAGAAAATAGCAATTTTGACTGGCTTTAATGGTTACATCATGAATCGTTATGGTGAAGTGTATGAAATCTCCCTCTCCCAAAATTGAATGAAGAGATACCGAAAAGGAAATGTAATAGTGCTTTGCTTGTGGACCCTTTGGATATTTGCGACGTTTTAAGTGTTCCCTAACTTTCTAACAACGAACCATTATGACCCATGGTGCATGTCTCATCAACTTATTCTTCTAACAACATCCTCGCACTTGTCTGAGAAATGTAGGATCTATATGTGAATGTAGGATGTAATAGTGGGTATGTGTAGAGTACCTTAATTTGGGATATACTCTGTTGGAATACATTTATATCAGTCTTACAATTTGGGATACAAGTCCTTTTCTATGTTAAGTATTTGCCGGTAATCAGTTGCCCAAGTCTCTTTTGTTTTTGGGGTTTATCAAGTTAACATAGAGTTGTATGTGCAATTAATTTGGTTTTTTTTGTGGATATCCTATAATCCTAGCCCACTTTATGCTTATATTTTAACCATAATGTCAGGTTTTTCGATTGCCAATTTATGTGTCTGAATATCTGAAGGTCTTGCGTGATCCAAGCTTTGGTGACACGCGTGGTCAGAAATATTTTGTGAGGATGAATGGAAAATTTGGTGGTGGAAGACAGCCGACAGGGACTCCTTCACTGGCTTGGTCCTGTGTGGTTGTTGTCTTCTCTCTTCTTGCAGGTGCTTCTGTTGTTCACAATATCTATAAGCCTAATCTTGTAAGTTTTAAATCCAACTTTTTCGTGGCCTTTAGTAACTAGTACCCTCTTTATCCAGTGTCAAGTTATTAATATGACAATGCGTGTAAGTTATTTGTGTTTTTTCATTGGTTGAATTTTTAATGCCTAGTTTATATTTCAAGGCATAAGGAGCTAACGAGCTCGATTAAAACCTACACCATCTGAAATACCTTGTCTTTTTATACTGTCAAAAAACAGTATGCACAGTTGAGATTATTAGTAACAATTTTTTTTGAGACATAACCATCAGTAATTTTAAGTTCAACTTGTTAGATCTGTTTGACCATTCATCACATTTATCTTTATGTCCGTATTGTTAAAAATTCAAGCCACTCTATGCAAACATTGTAGTAGTAGTACATTCAAACACATACTTGTTCAAAATATTTAGTGTGTTATCTACTTTCACTATGAATTTAAATTTTTCCTATATAATGTTGTTAACTCATTCTTTTCTATTTAGACATTGCCTCCGGTTGATGGGACCAAGCAGAAATCTGATGTGAAAGAATGATCATCTCCCCTGTCAATTTCTTTTAATATAGTGAGATACCAAGCTTCAGGGCTTAAAGTTAAGTATCAGTAGTTTAGTATACAAAATTAGAAAGGATTAAGTTTGGAAGAGAATATTATTTCATTCATTAATTTTTTTGGAGTTTTGTTTGTATGCAAATATTTTAAATTTTTGGTGCATGTATGGTTACAACATTTTTTATGGCCAAAATATTTGAAAGACTGATATACTAGTGTTCTATAATAATGTTTTAATGTTATTTCAATTTGGTAACTTTAGTCTTCAAAAGAAAATTTTTGAAATTTTACTAAATTTATTGAATATAAATTGGTTTTGTTGTTTACAGTTATAAAATATAATGTTGCACTAAACATTAGACGGACTTTTGTGTTATATAAGCATATGAGGAGTTTATCCACTTTATTCTAAATTATGATAGTTTTATTTTATCAATGCACAAAACAAGTCCTGATTCAATGGTAAATCAACTTTTTAACCTCCAATCAACATTGAGGCAGATAATAGCACCAGCATCAATGGTGGCTTTGCGCTGAGGATCACTGAAATATGCAGGTACAGTAATAACCACTGCATTCTTCACAGGTTTTTCCAAGTATGCCTATGCAATGTTCAGCATTTTGAGAGGACCATGGATGATACTTCTTCGGCACAAAGGTTCTTCTCCTGACCCTTGTAACTTGTACTTGACAGAAATCATGAATTTGTCATTAAAACCAGCAACAACCTTAAATGGCTACAACATTTTATCTTTTTGAAAAAGAGAGGGCCACTGTATTTCCTACCGATCAATCTCTTAGCAACTGCAAGAGTTACAAAAAATATTTTGGTAGTCTATTTTTACTGCTAAAAGTTTACAGGAAAATGATTCAAAGGAAAAAAAAAAACAGTAATAGTTTAAGAGTAAAAATATACCGAAGATGTTCTCTGGATTAGTAGCCATCTGATTTGTAGCAGCAGCATCTTCTATCAACCTTTCATGGTCCGTGAAAGCACACAGCAGCATCTTCTAATTATTGGAAGTATGTTTTATTTAAAAATTTACTCTTAAACCTGAGGAAAATATTTTAGATTCATTTCAAACCTTATTAAAAAAATAAAATTAAATAACTTTATAATATTTTCTATAAACAAATAATTAAAATTAACATATAATTCTAATAAATTATATTTATTTTTGTTTTTCCTCTATGTTTTTATTCTTTTTCCTATTTTTCTTTCTTCAAAACTTGCGCCTAGCTCTCAAAGCAAAAACATATTTAGTTTAATGATAAATTAGTCTTATAAAATATAAAATATATTTAACCTTTTACTTTTAAAATATATTTGTCTCACAACTTTTCATTTTCTTTTATATCATAAATTATAAAGATAAATTAGATATATAATTTAGTTTAACCATAAAACATAAATTTTTAAATAATTTGAAAGAAAAAAATAAAAATAATAAAATATATATATATATATATATATATATATATATAACCCTTATATTTTTAACTATGATATTATATAATACAAGATATTCAAAATTTATGGTCCAGAATAATTTCATGTCAATTTTTATTTCTTAATAAAATAAAAATAAAAGTTATGAGATATAGATAATGGATAATGATTAAATAATCACTATTGAACAATTTATATTGTCATGTTAAAAACTTAAATGATTTGGAACCAATAACTATTAAGAAAATAAAACTGAGAAAATCGAAGACTAGATAAAAATTAGATTGTCAGGATAATTCAAAATTATAATTATAGGATTAAATAAGATATGTAAAATATATACAATAAAATATTATATCTCTTTATATAATTGTATAAATAATACAATTTTTATTTTATATATTTGTATATATAATACAATTTTTAATTTATACATAATGTAGGAAAAATATATTAAGTGTTCATATTTTATAATTAAAAAACTTGAAACGTTTCTCTGGTTCACGTTTTAGGAATAATGAAAGATGAGAGAGTAATGGAAAAATCACCAATACAGTTCAAAAACAACTCAAACAATTAACCAAAGTGAAAATATGTTAAGTTTAGTTTTTCAAAATTTAACTAGAAAATAGTATATTTAGTTTTTAGTAAAAATAAATTAAAATTTTTAAGTATAAAATAATATAATTAATTATAGTTTAGTAGAGATAAGTTATTTTTGATCCTAATGGATGATACTTTTCCATATATCTAGATTAAATTATGCTAACATCTCAATCAAATTCAAAAAAGTTTGTCATTTCACAAAAGATTATGTTTCAGAAATATGTTTAACTACAGTTATATACGAAACCAAAGTCTTCTCTTGATATTCTTTCTCCTAAGTAATTTGTTCTTGCATTTCTTCATCGATTTTCTGTTTTTCTTTCTCAATCATGTTTTTTTAATTCAATCCATTTGTTCATATTACTTACATATTCATGACTTTTAAGTCTAGAACCAATACTTTTCCAACATACCTTCATTAACTAGTTGATTAACAATGCAAGCTACGTTTTAAAAACATAAAGTAAAAGAAAAATACATAAATTATTACAAAATAGCCTCTCTTTTTTAGCCAATTATTTAGGCTAAATTATATACCACTTTGAGAACTAAGGTAAATACATGTATCATAAAAAGGACTTAGTCATATGACTAAAATGATCATTTTACGTTGGTTTAAACCATCAACATGTGCAAAAGGATATTTTTCCACGTCAATTCCTCCCTTAATAACACAAAGATTTATTTCACATTAGTCTAACTTTCAAATGACTTACAAATTGAGAAAAAAAAATAAAAAATAAAATTATGCCCATTAATTCAATAACCAAAATAAAAAATACATTTTATGTCTATTCATATCTTAATCAACATAACAAGTTTAAAACTTTTAAAACAAACAATTGATTTTAGCACCAACCCAAAACTTGTAATACAATAAATAATTTTCACATAAATAACTAAGTTGTACATTTTAACACAAAGTACCAATGTATACTCTATCTAAAGTATTTGAATAAAAATAAACTAAATGTGTTGACAGATACAAGTTCTTCGTATTTGTCGCATCTGCAACATATTAATATCAGACAATAGGAATGGAACTGAAATAACTGCTGAAATATATGAAATATAACAACACTCAGTATGATAAATAAACGAAATATATGAAATATATTGACATTCAATTCTGATTAAAAAACACTAAACTTATTTTAACATGTCTAATGTATATTTTCTTTATTCAATAATTAGTCTACATGTGTTAATGATGATCCTCATCAATAAATTATGTAATCGCGTCACATTTAAATAAATACTTTTGCATATTATGCTAAAATCAGAAGCAAATCACTCAAATGTATCAAAATTTATAAGTCATACATGATTCTCGTTATATATATATATATATATATATATATATATATATATATATATATTGTCATATTAATGAACACTTTGTCTTAAAGCACGGGGTATATAGGCTGGAAAACCGTTGTTAATCTCCCTTCATTTGAAGGTATGAAAGAGACATTCGGGTAGAACAACGCCACGTACCCCAATTAAAACGAACCAAAACAACTTTTACTTAAACAACAATAAAAATATGGACTCTGTGGACTTAGATCTAGTTAGGATCCATTGCGAGGACCGTGAAACAGATCTATTTTCTGACATTGAGACTTCAAAGACTGAACAATGAAAATTAAACTAAAAAGAGAAGAAGCAAAATGGAAAACTTGACTTAAATTGGAAACTTGACTTCAACGTAATAAATCTTTTTACTTTTACTTTACTTTATGAACAAAAACTTAGAAAAAAATGGATATCAAAGCCAAGACAGTTTATAAACGATGGCGGTCCACCCCGGAACAAGTTAACATCTTGTTGAACATCTTCAACCATGGGATCATTAATCCTAGTCGAGATCAAATTCGCGAGATTACAGAACGACTCAAGGAGTACGGAGAAGTTGGAGAATATAGCGTCTATTGTTGGTTTCAAAACCATGGAAATCGGGTGAAGCATCGACGCTTGCCGCAAGACGTCCCTGGTACATCTGAACCTTCATATTCCCTCCTTCCGTCGTTTATGTATGGTAAACTTTCTTTCTTTTCCTTTTTTTTTTT